TTCTTGAGAAGAAGTCTGTGGAACCTCTCAACTCACTCTTTCTTGAATGCGTGGGTAACATTGAAAAAATAAGGAAGACTATCGTCACTATCCTGAAGGATGATATAAATTGCCTGGCGAGACAGTGAACCAAACAAGGATAATGTTAAGTTTAAAGCTTCCCCCTAAAGATCACAAACCAGGGTCGCTAATCTCGTCAAGCACAACTTTGTGCCCAAAGTTTGCGGAACGCGCTAATTGGACTCTCGCGACGCTGACGTCACGCCGAGCAAGGTGTCAATCATTCGAATGCTAATTTCTTTGAGAGAGGCAGAATGTAGCGAAGTTCATAGAGTCGCGCGTGAGGGGCGCGAGGAGCCCGCTGATTGAACGATTTCGCCGATGACGTAGCGCCCGTTTGTCCCTACATCCCTACGCCAAGCTAAAATTAATGCTTTGCAGATTGTCCCTAGGCGACCGGCTGACGCTCCAAATCCCTCCAAAGTTTGTGTTAAAAAAAAAACCTCGTTTGTCGAAGTTGTCGCTGACGTGACGTTTCCGAACTTTGCGAGAGCCGTGGTTTGAGCTCGAGATCTTCGCTTTGGATTGAGGCGAAGTTTGTCAACATGGCGGTGCCGTACGCTGCAGCTGAGCTTATCTTCCGCCATCGTCGGCATCGCTACCGAGAACACCGGGGATGCCTTTCAACTCCCCGACGACGACTTTCGGCAACAGTACCGGCTATCGAAAGCCATAGTGCGTTGACTCTGCGACGAGCTTCGTTTAGCGCCCAGACTTCGAGGCGGCCGACAATCGCGTCTACCATGACCGTGGAACCACAAGTTCTCTGCGCGCTCCGGTTCTTCGGAACCGGTAGCTTTCAAGGCATGGTGGCGACTGACGAGCACCTGTCAGTCTCCCACATGACTGTGAGCCGGGCTGTCAGAGTTCTTGCGGCTGCCATCGCTTTTTTCTGTAATATCCGAAGAGGTGCTAATAAGCTGGATGACAATTCAGAATGTTGGAAAACAAACAAGAGCCGGGGTAATTCTAGGGTAGGGTCGAGTGTCCCGGCAGCCGGCAGAATTATTCCCCGGAGATTCTACTGGCAGTCGTTGCTCATTGGCGGTCAAATCAGTTCATCGAACGAGGTGTCATTGACAGATCGTTTCATCGGCACGCAATGTAATCACATGAAAGAGATTTTCTTCAGTTAGAGGTATATACACATTCAACATTTTCACACCTTTATACATGTAAGTGGGGTGTCCCATAAATAACCCTCTAATAAGTGTATCAATAGACCTTATAAAAAAAATATAAACCTCACACCTTTAAAAACTCATAATTTTTTAAACACGTTCCTTAAAACGTGTGATAATGCACTACACCTTTTTAAGATGTAAAACTACAATACCCCTTCTTGTCAGGCACGTAGCCAGGGCGGGGAGGAACCATAAGGCCCCCCCGAAATCTTCCATTTGCTGAGGCCTCCTCTCCCCCCTCCCCCTCATAGAGCACTTTGTCATGGCCGCCCCCCCCTCCCCCTGAAACAAAATCCTGGCCACGTGCCAGCTTCTCGTCAAGGTGTAATTACCACAGTACATTTCTTTTTTGGGGTGTACACAGTGGCCCGGGACACAATAAAATGACTGAACAAATAAATTATGCAAACGAGTCGCCAAAGAAGCACGTTGCTTCTTGGCGAGTGTCGAGGCAATTTCGGCCAAAAACCGGCTTCAATACTGGCCGGATGTACGGTTTTGCGCCTCGTCCCAACATCCGGCAGGTATGGGTGTACCAATGCAAATAAACGATTTATGTCTAATAGCACTGGCACCACTGATCTCTTAGTAGGCTGGATCGCGGATATAGGCCTGTATTGCTGGGGTCGAGCGGCACCACCGGCAGTCATTGCTTGACATGAGCTAATGCATGCTATAGGAGAAACGGGAAAACTCAATTTTATTACGTTAGTAGGTTGTTCTCAATAATGAAACTTCTATCGTGCTTCCCCAAATAACAGTTAATATTGTGGGCAAGAATATTAACTGCGTTAGAATACCAATCTTGTTTAAATAAATGTTGTGTGGTTGAGGGTGGAGGGCGACTTTGTTGGGCGTTAACTGTGACGTGTTTAATGAGACAAGGGCTACCGAGAGTTATTGTGGAGTCATACGTGATCTCGGAGTCATCAAAGCTCAGCAAATGATAAGTTAGAAGGCCTTTACTGGGGACATTCGCATCGCATCGTTTTAACCGCTTGTCATAGTACTTCATGGTGAAAGCTTTTTCTTTGAACTGCTGCGAGGGTTTCCGTGACAAACTGAAACTCGGAGCGTGCCATTCAGTCGCTGAACGCGCCATTTATTTAGCAACCGAAGCAAGCGATGTCGGTAAAATCGGTGGTCCTCCGGGCCATTTTTTTTAATCAATGTTCGAAAGTTTGACGAATGTCTATTTGACCTTTAAAGGGATACGGAATCGAAACTTGAAATATAGAGAAAACACCAAGAAATGAGTTCAATATGATCAGCTAAGCCTGTAATGAATAATCGCACGGTCGTATTTTGAGCAGATGGCTATAGTTTATGCTCTAAATGCCGCGATTTTGGCGAGCGCTTCAAAATCAGCCATAGAGGAGCGCGATGCATCTCGGGAGATCCGGCAGACGTCTTGACGTCATCATGCCTCGGACGACCAAGCGTACCGTAGTGACGAGTTTTGCCACTTGGAGGCGTCAACGCGTTACAATCTCGCTTTGTCGAAGTACCCAAGGGCTGTAGATATCGCGGGGCCAGCACGCGCACCAAACCTGAGAACAACCGAAGCACGCGTTTGCACGTCGCGCGAGAGCTGAAACCAAGGTGGCTCACTTCGTTTTGGCTCTTTCCACCAAGACGCCTCGGTATTGCGTTCAGGCCTAGGCAATCTATACCAGTGAGCGGACATACCGCTGCGGCGCTGCTTTCAGAGGCATGTTGTCGTCACGACATTCCATTGAAGCTTCATAACCAACTACCAGGTGGTTTCTGATTATCGTTTAATTCACTTTAAAATATGTTTTCTTGCGTTTTCTAGCGCAATATTTATGTTTCTGTGGTTGTGCTGCTACCTGCGTCGTGTTGAAACAAAGAAATGAGCTCCAGAATTTGGTTTCCGTACCCCTTTAAGCACCTGATATACTCGTCGCAGCACGTCATAAAATACTCACCCTCGAACACCGCATACAAGCTTCCTATTTTTGCGTGTTTCTCCCTTAGACTTGCGTGTATTGCCTCATGGTGTAATACGCCAAAACAACAAGGACGAAACCGAAGGGAGAACTAGACAGGACGCGGCGTATTGCCTGTTGTCAAGCAATAGCCGCGGTAAGGCCAGTGACGGGCTCCCGATCCGCGATCCAGACTTGCACTGTGAGAGTTCTTATGCATTGCACCCGTGGAGTGCTGCACGGAGAACAGGCCCCGAACGAACTTGCCGAATGCACCGAGCGCAGACTGGTACTGACGCCGTAGGTGTTGTAGAAAAGTACCAACCTCAAACCGAAACTAGCACCTTTTTGTTCGACATGATGGGTGGGCATGCGAGAGCGCAGTCGCTGCCATCGTTTATCTATAAACTTTGGTTGCTGCAACGTGTAACCTATATTTGCGATGACTTCTAATTAAGGAACTCGGCTGTTAGAAATATCTACAGACGGCGTAAGTTTCCGAAACCAGCTGACTACAAAACAGCATACACTTGAGAAAATTGATGGCACTGTAAGTGCAAGAGCTTGCTTCGTTTTAAGCATAGTATTATGAGTGAACCACTGAAAGGATGCGGCTTAAATCTAGTTCTTTGGAACATCTAACAATATGTTTCGTGAGAGTTTTTATTTCCCTTGCGAGGGCATTGAAAACGAGAGCTTTCTCAAAAAAAAATAAAAAATATGACGGGGCAAGATAGCTGCCGTTCAAATATGACTTTGCGTGAGCCTCGGGCAACGTTTCCATGTTTAGACTTCCCGGACGCTGAGTAAATGCGTCACAGGTTTCTGGCAAGGGAGCTTTGTCGAAAATGTTCCACTTTTCACCCGCACATACATGATGCAATATCTCGCGGCCTCTGAGTTTGTCCTGGGCCTTTCATTACACACTGGTAGGTTTCAGCGTCTGCACGGCAAGAAAGTGACTCAAATTTTGCAAATAAAACACGGGTCGTCGATTCCTCCCTTCGTGAAATATCAGACGCTTACAATTCAAGCTCGCGTTTGGGTTTGTGGCCCGTGGGACGCGATTTTGAGCAGAAAGCCAACTTTTTCTTTCGGTTCTGCTGTGCAAATGCCGCGTCATAGCAGACAAACTTTCGTCGTCTGCTCTCGCTCCTCGCCTGGGCGAGGCATGACGGGATTGTCGGCGCTAGAGAGCTCAAAGACAATGTACAGCGAGCGGCGTGAACGCTCGCCTCCCCGCGCTGTCTCGTGCTCTCGTGCACCGCCTAGGGATTGCGGGGGATTTTTCGTCAAAAGTTGCGAAGTTGAGCGCGCGCAGGGAGGAGGAAACTCTGCAGCGTTCTTTTGGTCACTCCTCACGCTACGTCAGAAAGCGAAGAATGTTTTTCTCCACGAGTTTAGCTACCCAGAAATGTCTTTCCGCGCACGTAATCAACCAAAATAAAATTTGCAGTATATTCAATATATTGCCTCTAAATTTCTCTGAGGGCACAATGTAGTGAGTCTGCAAAAAAGTCTTGTGCTAACAAATTGAGAACTAATTGATGTTAAGATGTCACCCTCTTGCTTGTGTCGTACTCTTCTGCTTCCAAGTTTCTCTTTTCCTTACCGCAGTCTCGGGTTCAGATCACATTGATTGCACTCATTGTGCGACTTATTCCTGGGCAGTTTGCCTGAGACAGTAAGGTTTTACACGTGTACAGGCATTCCACGACCGTATCCCCCACCCGACATTTGTAGAAGAGTTTTTGGAATTTACCACTGTGTCGTGTTGCCTAAACTCAACGTCCAATTGCGACACATTATGTGTGTCTTTAACAAATACAGACCTAATATCTATCGGTATACCACTGCTCCAGCCAAGCACATAGCCAGGAGTTCTTTTTTGAGGGGAGGGGGGAGGCCCATCGTTGTCAGTTTGGCCTGGGTGCTAACGAATAAAGTTTCTCCATGTTTAGACGCAAACTTTTATTCAGGCGAAAAAGAAATAAGCTCGTAGTAGACAACTTGTAGCCTCAACAGTGTTTGGCGCGCCGACAGCGTCGCATCAAAACGGCGGTAGTCTTTTCTTTGCTCCCTTCTTTCTCTCTCGCTCCTTCGTCACTCTCCTCCCCTTCTTTCACTTTTCTCCTCTCCAGCACCTTCGTCGCCACACCCACTGGCCAGATTCTCCCGATATACGGGTCTGGTTCGTGTTGCACAATCAAACCACCAGACAGAAAATTGTGGTGCAGTGCATGTTTTGATAACTGCTATAGACCGTTTTATCGTGGGTAGCGCCATTTTGAGAGCGAGAGAGAAAAGGGGAAAGGACTACCGGCGCTTTCCTCCTTTCTGATTGTGTAGAAAGAGTGAAAGTCCCGGATGAGAGGCTTGGCCGGTGTTGGGCGTCTGCAGTGCCCCAACTTCGTTCGCGCTTTCTTCTACGTTTAAACTCCCAAACTTAATTAGAGCCATGGTCTTTGATGGCGACAGTCCCCCGGTCATCGGGACACCATTGCTGGATTATAGGGTGCACGAATAACGACAGAAAGTGTCGAATACTGTCCGAGGACCTATGTAGCTTCCATGGAATCCGGCAAGGCAAGTACGGCTGGAATGTTTTTAAGCTCCATTGCTTTCCGCATGACTGGAAATGATGAACCATTTATACATTTTTGCTTACAATGGGCCTATTTCAACGTAGCCGCTTTTAGTTGTAATCAACAAGCGATACACGAAACGGGAACCTCAATTAACTTTGTAAACGCCCGGAGCTCCTACATATCGTCTTGCTGTGCTGTTTTTATCTTCGTGTCCCCGTTCTTATATCTTATTGTGAATGAACGACAAAGACGCTTTAGATGTACTTTTATCGAACCGCAGAAAGCCTCGAAGCAGCTACGAATTATTTTACTATTCGATGCAATATTTTGAGTACTCACCTCCAATTTCTATCGCTGTCACGTTCGCTGCCACTGTTCCCCCCGTCGCCACACTGGCGGATGCCATGACTTAAAGAAACGTGCACACTGGGCTCGAAAACGCAGATCGCAACACACGAGACGTTCCTGCAGCGACTATCAAGCGCCTCAAAGCGCCTTAGTCAACGGAAACAACCCACCAGCGGCACTCCAAGGAGCGCTTTTGCCGGCTCTCTAATATCGCGCAGAAAATCGCGATTAAAAAAAAACAAAAAACACAATAGAACTACGTTTTCAACAATTTCCAGCCTCACCCGGCGGCGGAAATAAGCCTTCAACTAAGTGTTGTAGATGATAAAATCGATTCAGTCACCACTGCAAATTATCACTATTAAGATAAATTCAGTTACGAAATTTTACAAGCTGAAACAGCAGTTATCACGAGAAAACTCGCACGCACATTGCGAGCGTACCCCATGTTCATCGGCGGTACAGCGTTCGGTGCACGCTCCATTCACGAAATGTTCCGAGCGAAGTCGAGAGGATGGCGTGGAGGAAACGCCTTTTCGGCTTACTGACGCAATCCACTGCCACCGGAGACAGGGGTCATGTGGAAAGCGATGGAGCTGAAAGACATTGCAGCCGCTCTCGCCTTGCCGGGTTCCTTGCAAGCTACACATGTCCTCGGACAGTATTCTATGCTTTGTTTTTATTCGTGCACCCTATGACCGAGCAATGGTGTCCCAATGACCGGGGGACTGTTGCCATCGAAGCCTCTGGCTCTAATTAAGTTTGCGAGTTTAAAAAAGGAAAGAAAGCGCGAATCGGGCACAGCAGACACCCAACACCGGCGAAGCCTCTCATCCGGGACTTTCACTCTTTCTACACAATCAGAAAGGGGGAAACCGCCGGTAGCCCTTTCCCCTTTTCTCTCTCGCCCTCTTTCAGTAAAACGGTCTATAGATAAGAAGTTGGAGTCAAGATTAATGAAAATCTTTGCACTAAGACAAGCTTGCTAAATTGGTGAAATCTGAGCACATGAGCACAGTCTTAAAAGGATACTGAAGACAATTTGCATGTTCTATTTAAAATTGAAGTATATGTCAGGAGTTTCCCCGGCTATGTTGACCATGTTCTAACCGAAACTGAACTTTCGTCTGGCACAAATCATGAAAGCAGTCCTCTTAATAATCATACTGTGAGCAACACTTCTCGGGGTATCTAGTGACCGGGAAAACCGGGAATCGTCAGGGAGATTTGAACTACCGGGAAAAATCAGGGAATAGTCAGGGATATTGTAAAAAAGCGAGTCCAGTCAAGGAAAATGAGACGGCAATGCCATCGAGTTCCCTGAGCAAAGACTTGAGGACTGGGGGGCAAAAAAATGGGCAATAAGTTCTGCTTAGAGCGGAGCGCGGGCTCTGCTAACCCGGTGTAGAGTGCACTACCCAATGCAAATGAAACGACCGACAAATCTAGTCCGAGCCTTGGATTGGATTGGATTGATGGAGCAACACTAGGCTCCATCCAGTTAGAGCTACTAGATTCAGGCCGTGTTCCAAAATTTACTCAATCTTGCTCCAGGGTAAAGGTTTTGTACCTTAGCGTTCTATAACCTACCCGCGTCCAGCGCTTTTCAATCGGCGTTGTCACGTGACGCGACCCTCCAGAGTAACTCAGATCCATTTGGGTAAGATTTGGAACACAGCCATAGTAACAAATGATAAAGCCACAAACCCCAATCCAAGCCAAAAGTATCCGAAAGTGCATCTGGCGGCTTTGCCGCCATTCGGTTATTGATGTGCACAGTTGAGCTTCGTGTTTCCGGAAGCAGCCTCTTCACTGCAATGTCTGCGGCAAGAAAATGTTTGTTCAATCCGGACTGGACAAACCCGAATATTTCGGAATATGCAATTTGGATCAAGCCTGCAGAAAATTATCCTCACAGTGCTCAATTTCTTGTGTTGTAATTGTCTTGTATATTTAACCAAATTGTTTTATATATTTAAGTGGTCAGGGAGTTTCACCTGAAATTGTCAGGAAAAGTCAGGGAATTTCAAAATAATAAATTGCTAGACACCGTGCTTCTATTTTGGGGGACGAAAATCCAGTTAGTTTTGATTTTGCCAGTTTATTTGCAGATGCAGGCACAAGAGTTAACAAAAAGGACAGTGACATGTTTCGGCGTATTGCAAGTCCTGAACATCTTGAGAGTGGGCTATCCAAGGAGTTTATTAGTACTAGGAGGGGGCACATTGCAATATGTGTGAAGCCCAGTCATAAAAAAAGTTTAAACAATGTTGTACCAAACTTGACCCAAGATCTCTCTGGCAATTGGTGCACGTGACATGTCACGTGCGAGATGGATGGTTGATTGTAGCAGGATTCCTTGCAGGCTTGCGCGCGCTCCGTCCGTTAGGTTTTATCAGATCGAACGCTAGATGTGAAGCAAGCAGCTCCGTCCGGTAGATTGCGTCTTGGGCCGATAAGTGAGGAGGGTAAGGAGGAAAATGAGAAAGGCGAGGCGCCAAGGGAGCTTGGCTTGTGGAGGCTACACGGCTGACGTCATGCCCCCTCCTACCCTTCTAATCTTCCAATCGACAACACTCGTTTGTCGATTGTGCCCAAGCACTGCAGACAGTGCCAACAGGGCAAGCTGTCTTGAATTTTCAATTTCAATGACCTTGGTCACACTGAGCAGGATGCCGCGGATGACCTCAAGCTCGGCATACACCGGATGTGCTCAACTCGGGAGCTCATCACTGCGCAAACTTCCACCTCCTCTAATTTCACCATCTTGAGTTTAGCCCTCTAGCAGCATTGTAGTCTACTACGAGGAGGAACTTTTTTAACCTCGCGACTACAGAAAGGTGCACCTGCCTTGCAACAGAAATTTTGCCATCTTTTTTTTTCTTTTTGCCCTCAATAGTATTACTTTTAAAACTGCCTCTTGTGAAGTGCTCAACACATTTAAGAAACTGTCGTAGGATTTTGTCATAATTACATAAACCTTGCAATGATTTTGTGAATCGATTTACACTCGGGTTTCATCATACACATTTTTTAGTCCCAAGTCCTTCATAAATTGCTTAGAAGTGCATCCAGTTTCCATGTTTAGAACATCTGTCAGTGTTTCACTATTCCTTTTATTCCAGTGCTATTGTGTGCACACTAATCACTTTAATAACTTCTGTCAAACAGGAGATGTGTGGAGAATGCCTTTGGGATCATGTCCGCCCGGTGGAGAATTCTCCTCCGGACAATCAACCTCCTGCCAGAGAACGTCGATTACATCATCAAGTCCTGCTGTGTCTTGCCCAACTTTCTCTTGGTACACAGCGAACACCCAGCAGCCTATGCTGATCAGGACGACAACATGGAAAACCCAACGGCAGGAGGGTGGCGCCGCGAGATCCTAGACTCAGCGAGGGAATTGCTGTTTCCGCTGGAGGCCACACGTGCACGGAACTTTGGCGATGATGCAGACTTCGCCAGGAAGATGTACATGTATTATTTCTGTAGTCCTGCTGGGGAGGTTTCCTGGCAGTGGGACCAGCCTGGCGTGAACAAACAGGTTGCACGAAGCAACCTGCGAAAGCTCGGAGTCCATGTGAACCTCATGTAAAATTTTGAGTCAAGTTGACATTTATTTGGCAAACCTCGGAAGACACAAAACAAAATATTAACTAGATTCTGAACTTTAATAAACACAATAGACCATTCGCAATATCCCCCAAGCGCCCTGGCCAGTGCTAGAGGAATCATGGGAACGGTGTTCCTTCGGCTCCTTAGTGATCGATAATTTCGACCCAATTTATGGTTACATAGCTTTTGAGCGTAATTCGGAGTCACCCTGAACAAGCGCCTTATCATATTGCTCTTAAAATTTCTTAATGTCAGCGTTTTTGACACTGTGCATGCTGTCCACCCTTCAACCTGGACGGGCTGCAGAAATCTCTTGCATTATTATCATTTTCGTGATATTAAGTTGGAAACTTTAAAAATGCTATAAGCCCCACTGACTCCGAGCAAAATCCTGGTTTTTGTTGTTGTGAATTGTCGGCTTTTTAAACCATTGCCGCTAAAACAACAATCACGAGAATGATAATATTGCAAGAGATTTCTGCAGCTCAGCCAGGTTGAAAGGTGGACCGCACGTGCAGTATCAAAAATGCTGACATTCACGAGCAATTTTAAAAGTGGTACGACAGGTCCTTGGGGGTAGGGTGATTCCGAGTTGTGCTCAAAAACTGTGTAACCATGGAATTGGTCAAAATTAGCAATCACCAAGGAGCTGAAGGAACACCATTCCCATGATTCCTCGAGTGCGGGCCGGGGCGCTTGCGAATATAGTAAATGTTCTATAGCAAGAATCGTACATCACCAGAAAATATCGTGGTAATTAACAGTACATTTCTGAACAACAAAATTGCAGCATAAAGTGAATGTCTATACTCGTCGCCGCTACAGCTGTAACAAAAAAAAAATGGGGTTGCATGTTCAGAGATAACATTTTAGCCTATCTGTTAAGTGCATGTGCCACACGGCAATGACTAGTTAATTTGACTAACCATGATTATTTCAACTAACCTGTACATGCGGCACCAAGTCCCGATTACATTTCTATCCAGTTGCTTCATTAGTAAGTTGCCGTTTGAAGGCACTTAGTAGATGCTGTAGGTATATTGATTCACAACAACTTGTCTGTTACTGTTTCTGTTACTTCTGCTCTTCAAAAACCCCCCCAGTCTCAGGGTAAACAACGAAATGGTATATTTCTCACATTGCATATTTTGTTTTGAATTTATTATTGCACTAGTTGTATCAATGTATTTGAATTTTTGAATAAATATTCTGTATATAAATGTAACTTGAACATATCACCATCTTTCTAAATTGCCTGCTGCAGCAGTACAGAATCCACGACTTAAAATGGTAACAGTAACAACATACCAGGTACATATAATCACAGTGAAACTCATAAAAGAAGATTAGTCTTGACAACTTTCATTCCTAGAAATAAGATATTGTTAATAGTATGAAAACATTGCTTGGGCACAATATGCTATGCAGCAATCTTACCAAAAAAGAAAAAGTTGTACACAGGTAATGTATTGCAAACAACAGCCTCATGTCTGTAAATGCCCTGCAACTGTAGACTAAATGCACTGAATGTTACATTCCACTATTGCACCCCCAGTAGCTTTTAAACATTAAAAATAGAACAAAATTAAACCAGGTACCCTCTTGGCAGCGCGAAGTCCCACTACAGACAGAGCAATTTACAGATTCTCGAGCTGTAACACGGAATTGCTGGACTTGATCCGGCTCGATGCCACCTATACCCGTTTTCACGTCAAGAAAAAAGGAAGTTTTGCTCCATGTTCCTACGCCGCGCGAGGTAGTTCTCACAAAATTTGGTCGTCGGAGGAAGACGCGATGCTTTTGGCGTTTGAAACGTGTACGTCTTGATAAGAGAACACATATCTAATCTAAAATACACCTACATATGCCTCAATTCTCAGCGTAACGAGGGATATTAGTAATGCTCCGCGAGGAGCCGAACTTTTTTCACTATGGTTCTTGAGGTGAAAACGGGTATAGCAAGGAATGGCGGGATTACTGGAAAAAACTGCCCCATCTGAAACAAGCCTAAGTTACCTAGTCCTGGCACTCTTCGATAGCCTGCAAGATGTTTTTACGCATTCTTAACACCTTGGATAGATAAATAGATCGCATTGGATCGCACAACGATAGGGCAAAGTATTCATGCGCATCTGGCTTCTTCTGGCATGCAACACTAGAACTTATATTTTGGAGCTCCGTCAAGAGCGGGTCAGGATTGCTCTTTGTCCTTTTCTTTTGCGGCTCGTTCGTAGCGCCACTGGAAAAAGCTGGAGGGAATGGGCTTCCCACCCCCCCAGACTGGTGCTCCTCGTCCACTTCATACACTTCGACAATGCAAGCCTCCGGCTCCGGCCCATCCGCTGCTCCCCTTTCGTCTAAATAGGCCCCCTCGTTCACCGGACGGATGAAGTCGTTATTACACGATGTGCTAGATGTCTTCATGTTTCCTGACGTGCTGTTGATTAAGGAGAAAAAAAATTTGTTTAATAAAACAAACAATCAGTGCCACACATCAGGGGCACAGCCACGAATTTTCGGGTAGGGGAAGGCTAGGCTCACTAGTGCAGTGAACGATTGTGTGAAGCGCTTCGGCAGATTTCGCTGAGTTAGCATGAAAAATGGTCATAAGTCACTGCACACTGCTAAAAATAGCCTCATTCTATTTCGTTCTTTCTGTACCTTTCATCACACTGAGTATTAACCAGTAGAAAGTTCACATTGTGCAGGAAGCTTATGCTAGCCGAAATGTTCGATCGGCACAGCTACTACGCAGCTCCAAATCTACTCAGACCTTAGTGTATCAGAACGTCACTAAAAGCGCCGTAAAATCGCGTAATTATAATAATGATCATGTTTATTTGCACTCGGATGCCGGTGACAGCAGAAAGACCGTATGGACATACCAGAGGCATGCACACGTGGAATCTATGAGTGGCGATCTATTATTTGGGGACAGCGAAGCCTGGACGGCTATCAAATAATTTAATCAAAGAACACTATCGGAGAATTCGCAGTGCACGCATTACCTTCGATGCTGCAGGGTATCTCGCACGAAATACATTTGTTCGAAGTGTGGCCACGACATCGGGTCTTCGACGTCGTCGGCGCCGGCACCGCTCGTGCTGGTTTTCTTCATGTCGCGCAGCAAGCGCACCAGCTTGTCCCGGAGAGATCTCCAACGTTTCTGGACTTTGTCCACTAAAATAAAAAGAAGACTCAGATTGAGGTGGGCACTTTCGTTGGTGAAAGTTAGGACTTACCGCGATCCTTGTCTCCCGGCAGAAGGAGATCGCCGAGTTCACTCCAAATGGCCGATTTTTTTTTTGTATCCTTGTAATCCTTACATTCCGGCTGCCAGAGCGCAGGACGCTTTTCAACTTCGCTAATTAGGCGTTCGTTGTTGACTGCCATTCTCGCAAGGCCGTGGCAAAAACTACAAGAGTCCTACAGTGGTGAAAACTGAAGAAACTTCAAACGCTGCTTGCTACTAAACACGGCCGTTCATTGGTTGTTGCCTGCTGGACGCAGCGGGAGACGCGCCGCCTGGACGCAAAATATCTGGCTCCTCCAGATACGCCGGAATGCGCCTAAAAACGCTGCGTTTCGTCCTTGCGCCGGAAGTGACGTCAAAGCACAGGCGCAGACGCGACGCAGACGCGGAGAAAAACGCACCATGTGGGCTAACCCCACGTAACGCGTGCGCGCATGCGAGCGCGTCACAGCGACGTCACGTCGGCGAAAACCCGACGCTCTATACTCCGGCGTCGTGGCGTAACTGACGCGACCGGCAGCGTTCGACGCAGCCTGACTGCCTCGACGCCAAAATGGAGCATGCCGTATTCCGCGCCGGCCGCGCCAGCGACGCTGAACCAGGATGCATCACGCGCTGGCTCCCGGTAGCCCTGGCGGCGAATACGAGCAATAGGTGACATTCACTTGACGTCACTCGCTAGGTTCGCTGCCATCGCCCACCGCGGTCGCCATCTTCGAGGTCTCTTGCTATCGCGAATGCCATCTGGCCGGACCTTTTGAGCGTGGTTTAGCAGTATATTACAACTTTAAAGGGTCTTTTTGATCGAAACTAGGGGTTATTCTTATACTTTGGTACTTTTGAAGCGCCGTGGGAGTATTTTTTGTGTGTTTTAGTTTGTTTTTGTCGCAATCGGACTCGTTTACTGCGGCCGCGTTGCTCCCTCGGCTCCATGAAGCGCTCCGTGTCGCCCGCTCAGCCGACGGCGGTAGCTCTTGCAAGAACTAATTTTTCTACTTTGGTGCTTTTGCAGCACGGTGTGATTACTCTTTGTTTTGTTTTGCTAGTTTCATTATTGTTTTTCTCTAGACTCCGTTCCACCTTCAGTCTGAGCGCAGTGTACGCCACAGGCCATCCCAGCCGATCCAGCGCCGGGAGAAAATCGCGTGACCTGCCGGTTGGGCAGAGGGACACAGGGAGCTCAAGGTCACATGACACTCTCCCCACACTAGATTGGCTGGGATTACTCCTAGCGTCCGCTGCGCTCGGACTGAAAATGAAACGGAGTATAGCTGATTTTCTGTACTACGGCCGTGTAACCGTGTGGCTCCATCGCCGCTGTGTCGTACATACGTCGTGCCTTCGGTGTTCGTTCCTGTGCAGAAACATACCGTGCGGCTCACAGAGTGCGCAGCTTATAAAAAATGCGGTTCAATTTCATTAGCCCAAGCGATTTAAAAACCGCATGTAAGCGATTTGGCGAGCGGGAAGACAAGCGACGGCGACCCGCTTCGCTGCCGCTCGGTCACTCGCGCGACGAGGCAAACCGCATGAAAGCGACGGGAGCACGCGACCAAGGCGATGAGCGCTAAGTTTTTTAGAAATCCCAAAACCGAGCTACGCGACGAGTGACAGTGAAGGGTGAACCGCATGTAAGCGATTTAGCGAGCGATGGCGACAGCGACGGGGGTCGGCGACGAGCGACGGAGATTTCTCACGGTCGGTCGTCGCGTCGCTTGGCTTTTGGATTTCTAGAAAGGGTCGCTTATCGCCTTGGTCGCATGCTCCCGTCGCTTTCATGCGGTTTGCCCCGTCGCGTAAGTGACCGAGCGACAACGAAGCGGGTCGTCGTCGCTTGTCTCGTCGCTGTCGCTCGTCTCGTCCCGTCGCTCGCCAAATTGCTTACATGCGGTTCAGCCTTTACACACGGTACTTGGCGGCAACAAGGAAAACGGCCCGCCCCCGGGACCAACTTTTCTTCTCTCTTCTGTTCAACGAAGCTTCAACGATATGAAATTAGCACACACTAGCAGCGGACGACCGCGTAGCGTACCCAAGCCAGTCAAACCGAGACCTCGAAGATGGCGGATCGACGGTGGCGCTCCCTGGCAAAATCGAACCTGCAGCCTCAGTGAATACCACCTATAGCAGACGACGGGAGCACAACTCCGTGCAGCGTCATGTTTGAAGAATCGGACGTCTCGGTCGTCGAGAAGCTGATCGAGGGAATTCGTCCTTACCCGTGTGTCTACGACACGAGGAAGCTTGAAAACCGTAGACTGTGCGCTTGTCAAAGATGTACCGCATGTACATTGACCGCCTACACTTGCGGGGCAGGCGGTGCACCAACAGTGCAAGCGCGAGTTTTCGTCGTGCAAGGTACGTCCACGCCATCGCTCGAACTTAGCGCTCAAGAAGTGCGAGAATTCTCGTCTGCTATTCGAAACGAAAAGGAACCGGAAATGGCGCACTCTCGCAGGAAACGCGCCCTCGTAGCCAGATTCTGCGCATGCGCCGCGCTGGCGGCTCACCGACGCGCGCCGCATCAGTGCGCGCCGCAGAAGTCGCCAGGGCCGCCGGAGTATAGAGAGGGCGAATTTTTGACCCGCGCGGCGTGACTGACGTGACGTAGCCGACTTCGGCCAGCGTTCGCTTGCGCGCGCGTTACGTCGGAGTATAACAGAGCCAACAGAGCCTAAAGACTCTGTTATACTCCGACGTAACGCGCGCGCAAGCGAACGCTGGCCGAAGTCGGCTACGTCACCTCAGTCACGCCGCGTGCGTCAAAAATTCGCCCTCTTTATACTCCGGCGGCCCCGGCGGCTTCCGCGGCTTGCGTCGGTGGGCCACCGGCGCGGCGTATGCGCAGAATCTGACTACGAGGGCACGTTTCCTGCGAGAGTGTGCCACTTCCGGTTCCTTTTCGTTTCGAATAGCACACGAAAATTCCCGCGCTTCTTGAGCGCCAAGTTCGAGCGATGGCGTGGACGTACCTTGCACGACGAAAACTCGCGCTTGCATTGTTGGTGCACCGCCTGCGCCGCAAGCGTAGGCGGTCAATGTACATACGGTGTATCTTTGACAAGCGCCCGGTCTACAGTACTCAAGCTTCCTCGTGTCGTAGACACACGGGTGAGGACGAATTCCCTCGATCAGCTTCTCGACCGACCGAGTCCAATTCTTCAAACATGACGCCACACGGAGTGGTGCTCCTGTCCTCTGCTATTGCTCGTATTCGCCGCGCTTCCCACGCGAGGGCTCCCGGGAGCCAGCGCGTGATGCATCCTGGTCCGGCGTCGCTGGCGCGGCCGGCGCGGAATACGGCATGCTCCATTTTGGCGTCGAGGTGGTCAGGCTGCGACCGAACGCCGCCGGTCGCGTCGGTTACGCCACGACGCCGGAGTATAGAACTTCGGGTTTTCGCCGGCGTGACGTCGCTGTGACGCGCTCGTAAGCGCGTACGCGTTACGTCGGAGTATAACAGAGCCTTTAAGAGACAGGCAGCGTCAGAGAAGTGGTCTGCCTTCCAAGCGGGCCGCATCAAGGCCTCCAATGCCAAGGCAGCGTGTAGCCACATCCATCAACAACCCCTCCCAGTCTCTCGTGAGGAGGATTTGCAGCCCACTAAAGACACAGTTCAGGGCACCCCAGGTTGCTTGGGGAAAAGAGCAGGAGAGCAAGGCCAGGGTTAGTACATCTTGGAGATTGCTCAAATCGACCAAGACCTTAAGTGTGAAGAGTCCGGAGTGCATTTTTCCACGAATCACCCATTATTAGGTGACACTACAGATAAACTGGGGCCCCTGCTGCGCGAAAGATGTGCTTGAAGTGAATTGCTTACACCGTGCAAGGTGTTCTTGATTTTGGAAATCCCTAAGCTAAAGAGTTCTTGCCTGGTAACAAAACGTGGAAAGTTGATGTTGAAGACAGACCACAAGAACTACTTCCAGGTCCAGATGCAAATGCTGGTGTGTGGAAGAATGCGCTGAGACTTTGTAGTGTGAATGACTAAGGATCCTGTTTAGGCAGCGCATCTCCTGAGATAGAAAGTTTTGCTTCGAGATGGTAGCTCGTTATGTATATTTCTTTTAATGTGTGCTCCTGCCTGAGCTCTGTTTCAAGCACTCGAGTCAAAAAAGCTAAAAAGATGACAAAGTCACGGAGAGCGTGACATGTTCCGACAGCGAGAAGGAAGACGACGGAACTGCCTAAACTTATTGCTACTGCAAGAGACCGGAATCAGGTAAATGAGGAAGTGTGACGATTCATTGTGCAAATACAAGTGGTTTCACTTCGCATGCGTGAATATGAAGAGAACCCTTGAATCACGAAAAGGGTTCTGCAATGATTGCGAAGCAGCAAGGAAGAGGTAGAATTGTGAAAGAAACTGAAAAATGTGCATCCTAACTTTTTTTTTTCTCCTTAACAGTGGAGTGTATTTTAGGCAATGAGATCCATGGAGTTCTTTTCCTCTTGATCTAAGGGCTTAATGAAGTATAGCACCTGTCTAAAAGATCTTGTTGCTTACTACTTTGAAACAAACAAAAGGCGAAGGTCCTCATAATACCGTAAAATGAGGTTACTTTGTGACTGCAGGGGTTACTCTGTGAGACGCACTCAATTTTCTATATTTTAAATCTCGCGCCATGACCAGGCGCCGCCGAAAAGCTATGAGCCACTCAACAAGCTCGCCTGACATGCTGTGCCACCTAGCGGCAGCCGGCCGAAGTTCCCGCGCTCCGGAGCCACTCTAGACGCCAACACGTTGAATGGTGCTTTAGCGCGCATTGTTGAAGCACCGTAAACTTTGTGTGCTCCACTTGTCCGCACGAGAAAAACAGCGAAAACAGGTATGTACTTCTGATTGTTAATACGCAAGCTAAAATAAACTGTAATAAAAATTTAATCAAGTCACCTTTGTTTAAGGTTATAGAAAGGAAACTGAAATGTTGATACTTTGCGGGGTAACTTTGTGACACACAACATTACCCCATTCTGTTTTTAATTTAAATTATATGTTGTTTGGTTGATTTTGCAGCGTTTAAAGGGGCCCACCAACAATTTTTTGACCGGTTTGAAGTTCGCACTGAAACGGAGCTCCATGAAAGCAGGAACACCGAGGCAAAAAAATATGACAGAAATTCGCAATATTTTGTGAGTTATTAGAAAACTAAATATTGCAGAAAACAACTTTAAATAAGCAAAAAATTGCGCTTCATGACGTAAAATGAAACAGTTTAGCGATTGGAGCAAAGCGTCAGCCCGGGCGATTGGAGCAAAGCGTCGGCCCGGTCGGCTCGTCGGCCATTAGGCCTAGCTGCAACCATCGTAGCTTTGGGATCGGGTTGCCATCATCGATGAATTTACCGGGCTTATTGGATTTTGAGTGCGGAGCTGGGCGTCGCGCCGTACGAGGACACTCCACGCAAGCGCCGCGACGCGTCTCTGCCTCAGTCCACTTCGACTGCCGCGGAAGACTCGTCTCCCGCAACTCCGCCACCGGAGCCACCTCGGCGAGTAGGAGCTACAAACTGGTGTGCGGTCCTGTTGGGCAAAAGCTGGGTCCCGTCGTCGCACTTCACTCGAACAGTGAAAAGTCTGTCACAGCACTGAAAGAAAATAAGGGTTCCCCTGGCTCCTCTTACTGCTTTTAGTTGACCGGGACCGGGGGCGCACAAGTGAAAATATGATGCGCATTGTCTGGACGGATCACTTGTCGTCTGCTTGCGATGGTACGTCGTGGACGCCGATGGGAGGCGCACATGAGCGACAAGGCGCAGAGCTCTGACAAAGCGCAGAGAAGGCGTTGTTTTCGCCCTTTTTGAACCTTATTTTGCAACTTTATTAGCTCTATAAAAATGACTTGTTAGAGAAATAATCATGGATAACGTGTGATATACTTTATTTCGCTTCAAAATTCCTGGGACGGCTCTCGCCAATCATGAAACCCAGAGAATGTGACGTATAGTGAAAAGGAGCGCCGTTATGCGCACGCATTCGGCACATCGCGGCACCACCGTCGGAGGAGGTGTTTCCGAGTTGTCAAATTAAAATATGATGCGCTAATATTTTCAAACTCTTTCGTTGTCCACTGGGTTTCCGGGACCACTAGCGTGTAGAAACCGCAAAAAAAAGTCGACGCTCAAATACTGTTGGAGGGCCCCTTTAAGAGATATGAGGAATGATAAAAGGAAGCTTGGTGCACGGCCGTACCAAAATTATACCCAAGAAACGTTGAATAATGCCGTTCAGTTGGTCCTTTCAAAGAAATTTTCATCGAGGGCAGTATCTGATAGGTTTGTGAGTAGTATTAAAACATCTTTCTTTTTCTTCTTTTTAGGTCCTTACCTATGCATTACCATTACCTATGTCTTATGTGTTGTTTGTTTTTCCTCTTAGGTTAAATATTGATGGGAACACCTTGCTGTTGAAGACCACACAGGCTCGGGGTTCAGTCGATCGACCGGCTCAAAAAGTTGGTCGTCAACCTGCTTTTACGGAAGAGGAGGAGAAGAGGTTGATTGTCTTCATTTGGCTTCCCAATGACAAAGTTTGACTTGACCGAACGGGAAGAAAAGTGTCTGCTTCCAAAGATGGCAACTTTCCCGGTAAGGAGTGGGCAAACTCTTTCTTGAAACGTTACAAAGATATCCTCTCTGAATGCGTGTCAAAAAACATCCCATACGCAAGGGCATCAACGGATGCAGAAGTGATTGACACGTTTTTTGGCCATCTGGAGAAAGAGCCAGATGGTATTCGGGACGAAAACATTTGGAACTGCGACGAAACAAATGTACAGGATGATCCAGGGAGCAAAAAAGTGATAACTAAAAAAGGAGCTAAGTATCCAGAAAAATTCAAAACTCATCAAAAGCCTGTACTTTCATTATGGTTTGTGGAAGTGCTGCGGAAGAGTTGGCTCCGCTTTACGTCAATTACAAAAAAGAAAAGCTTTGGTCGACATGGACAGAAAATGGACCAGAGGCGGCCCGTTATAATCTAACGAAATCTGGTTGGTTCGATAACCAAGTTTTCGAAGACTGGTTCATGTCCCTTATGGTCCCCCTATTGAAAAGCAAGATGGTCCAAAAGCTCTCGTCGGGGACAATTCGAGTTCCCACATTAGCCTCGAAGTGCTTCGTCTGTGCGAAGAAAATAATGTAGAGTTCATCGCGCTCAAACCGAATGCGACTCATCTACTGCAGCCTCTCGATGCCGCCGTTTTTCGTAGCCCGAAAATAATTTGCCGTTCACATTTGGCGGAATTGAAAAAGTCAACCTCTGGAAACTGCTGCACATCCGTGCCAAAAAACAAATTGCCCGGTCTAATAAAAAAAAAAATGACGATCAAATTGGAAGAAAGCATTAAAACAAACCTGAAGTCAAGATTCCGGAAGACCGGGATTTTTCCCCTGGACAAAACCAAGGCTCTCCAACAGCTTCCTAAATCAGTCCTCGAGGACAGCTTGAAATCCATGACAGACGTCGTAGGGGATATCTTCTTGGAGGAATTAAATAAAAAAGAAAAGAGGGGACTGGAAAGCAGGCCACCAAGAGGAGGAAGATACTCAATGTCCCAGCGGGGAAAAGCATATCGGTTGCCAAAGTGGAAGAAGCCAGCAGGACGGGAAAACCGACAACGGGAAAGAAGGGCAGCTCTTCCTCCGGTATCGGAGCTAGGCGACCTAGGAAGAGGTCTTCTCTTGAGGACAACATCGCAGAAGAAAGCAGTGACAGCGAATCGTCTTCAGATGGTCAGCACAGCGACAACAAAAGGTGGTCGGAAGAAGACACAAGTGATTCCGAGGTACTCTCCGGAAGTCTTGACCACCTATCGGAAACGGACACTCCTACCACTTCCGTGATTCCAAATACTAGCAACGTCCCGAGGGTCCGTGGTATGGGTTCCAGAGAAAGCACCTTCAAGGGGGATGACTTTGTCGTAGTAAACTTCGAAGGACGACTTTTCCCGGGAAGAGTGACGGAAATCAAACCTGAGGGGTACATCGTCAACACTATGGAGAGGACCAAAAAGAATTGGAGATGGCCGGACCGTGGAGACGCTATTTTGTACTCAGAAGAAATTTTGTACAAAATTGAATCACCTACGCCGGTGGGCAAGCGAGGCATCTTTGAGGTAAAAGATCTTGATTGAGGAGGTACATGTATGAATATTTTGTAATACAATTGTAACGTTGCCAGAGCAGAAACCAATTGTAGTTAACGCATATAATCTTTTGATCGGGTAACTTTATGCCAGCCCTTTTTTTTCGCAATCATATTCAGCCAAAAACAATGTTGTCACAAAGATGCCCTACACGACGGGGCAACTTGGTGAAAGCTTTTAACATGACTATAGCCATTTGTATTACAGATGCGAATTTGTAGAACATACCGTCGTGTGAGGAAAGGTTTTAGCAATGTTATGCCACTATTCATTCGCGTCTATGTTGATAGTTGTTCAGTGAGAAAATAAAAACGTACGAAATTTGTCACGAAGTAACCCTATTTTATGCAGTCTTGGGTAGTAACGAGTTACTAGTAACGCGTTACTGTAACTTTGTTACTTTTGTGGTAACTTGTAATTTTAAGGAGTTACTTTTTAAAAATGTAACTTGTAACTGTAGTTCTATTACATTTTCTGAGGCAACGATGAAAGTAACGAGGTTACTTTTTTCGTTACTTTCCTTGTTTATGAATAATATATATCATTGAATGAGTACAATCCAGCTATTTCTTGCACCTTCCAAATCCTCTTTTTTGACAATTCGAGTGTCAAGTTGACCTAGCACGAACTTGTGACGTACTGGGGGAAAGGGCACACCGCAAGGTGCGGTCCCCTCCCCTTTCCTCTTCAACAAAGTAATGAGAGGCCTTCCGGCAAAGCTAGCGCATCTCCCACATATTCTCTATGCTGATGACATTACTCTCTGGATCAACAAGGGGAGAGATGGTGACACACAAGGCAACCTGCAGGAGGCGTTTAGGATAATACAGGAATATGCAGCAGACTGCAATGCTCCCCTCAGAAATCGGAACTCCTTCTCCTATATTGCGGGAAGCACCAACCGAAGGGCCCTCAAACAATCACGCTCACCACTAAATCGGGGGAAACCATCCCCCAGAGGTACACACGATAAAAGTGCTCAGGCTGCTCATCCAAAGGGACGGACACAACACAGAGTTCGTCCGCAAATTTGGACAACAGGCAGAGAAAGTAGCCAGACTGCTGACAAAGGTGGCCTCAAGGCACAAGGGCCTCTCGGAAAGACATCTCTGCAGGCTGATACGAGCCGTCATAGTCTCTAGATTGGTATACACAACTCCATACTTAAACTCCTGGCAAAGGAAGAGGAACGCCTAAATGCACACCTCAGATCCCTCTTTAAACAAGCGGTGGGGTTACCCAAGTCAGTGCCCAATCAGCGGCTACTAGAATTGGGACTGCACAACACAATCCGAGAGCTAGCAGAAGCCACACGCACAGCCCAGGAATCAAGACATACCCAGACGCAGGCAGGGGTGGAAACCCTTAAGAGGATCGGGTACCACTGCGAAAGTACAGGACACGAGGCAAGAGTACCGGAGAGCTTCAGGAGCCCGCTACACCTTATACCGCTACCACGCCACATGGGCGGAGGAAGCGAGGGGCGCCGAACTCACAGAGTAGGGGCGCTGCAACAGGCATGGGTCAACAAACTTAACGTATGGTATGTGGACGCCTCACCGTACCCACAAGAGAGGGCACACGTGATAGTGGCCATAAAACCAAACGAAGAAGCGACAATCACCCCCTCGGTGAGAACCCCAAACACGAGAGAAGCCGAGGAGTGCGCCATTGTGCTCGCCATAAATGAGATAGGACGCAGCAGCAAGGACGGGGCAATCATCTTTGACTCCCAGGACGCCATAAGACGATTCGAACAGGGTACAGTTGCAAACACCGCCCTTAGACTACTGACGTCTAGCCCCACTAATGCCCGTGTCCCACTAGAGCGACAGACAGAAACAAACGACAGCGACAAGCCTCAAACCAGAGTCTTTCACGATTTGAGAGGCTTTGAAAAATAAAGGAGGCTGTGCTCAAACACGCGCATCATGCACGCGAGGGTATCTTTGGCATACTTGCAATCGCTCCTGCTTACTTCACGAGCACCGAACGACTAAACGCCTGCCGAAGATACCATCGCGTGCATGCTGCATGGGTTCGAGGCTTGTCGCTGTCTTTTGTTTCCGTCTGTCGCTCTAGTGGGACACGGGCATAAAGGGAAAATCGCGATCCGATGGACACCAGCCCATGCAAGTCTAGAGGGAAACGAGCGCGCCGACAGTCTCGCCCGCGAACTAGCTGCTCAGGGAGACACCACACAGGCCCCTCAATCCCCGACCCCACTAACAGGCTGCAGGGACATTTTAAGTCACTACCGCTCGGATAGGGCCAGATATCCGGAACCACACAAGACACTCACAAGGCATCGGGCAGTAATAATTAGACAGGTACAGGCCAATGCACTACCAAACCCACACATACTAAGTAAGATACACCCCAACCTTTACCAAACCAGCTGCCGGAGGTGCGGGGATCAGGCACACATGCAACTTATCTTATGGAAGTGCCCATATATCGTACCCAAGGTATTTAAGACAAGTAACAAATGGGAGGCCGCGGTTGTAAGCCCCAGCAAGGACACTCAACTGGCCATCGTACAAATCGCGGAAAGAGAAGTGCAACCCAGGACCTGGATCCTCCAGGACCCTGGGGGACCACTTCCCAACACCAACTGAGCAACACAGGCACGAAGGGGAGCCCGGACTCAACAGACTTCGGAATCCATCTTCCTTTGGGCCAAATAAAGTCTTTATTCATTCATTCTCGCGAGTCACGACCCGAATATACACATGTGTAGGTTTGATGAAAAAAAAAAACTAGTTATCTTTACGGACGCGCTTGTACTTTCTGACTGAATACTTACATCTTTGTATCTTGAAGCACTATCTATGTTGCGGTTTTTCTTTTTTCTGCGCAAGCACTTTTTAATCGGGTAAATCAATCGTTACACGCGGAAAGCACAGTGCATGATTCGTGTTTTGATTAGCGCTACTACTCCGGCGTGGTGTCAACAGTCGATGCAAAACTGACTGCTGTTTGCGCGGGGTTTGTTTCTGGCTAGCCGGGTACGAACTGAAATATGTCCAGCACCTCTATGAACCCAGCGCAATCATAAACAAGCCAGCAATGTGCTAGTGCTACCGAGGATAGGGCATTTATATTGGGTCTGCATTTGCCCCCATGCAATTCCTTCCAGCGCGCCAGTTGAGCGCCTATTCAGCAACAGCAGGGACCTGTTCGCCATCAAGCGGGGGAAACTTTCAGACACTAATTTCGAGAAGCAGCTGCTGCTAA